AGGCTGAAGATTAAAGGGCCTGCAATCATGCTTGAGAAGCTGTCTGGACTGAGGAATTGTATCCTGCTGCCAGCCTCAATTAGAGCCTGCTAACTTCCCTAACAGGGAACTCAGGCAGCTTAGTGGTAAAGAACTGTGCTGTCAACCTGAAGGCATGTGGTTTGAATCTACCAGATGCTCCATGGGAGAAAGATGGGTAATAACCTCCCATGCATTTTTACTGCCTATGTAAACCTGGAGGGTGAGCTATGGGTAGTTTCTGACAACGACAACAACAACAACAACAACGTCATTTAATACCATGAGTCCGTGAAGTCTGTGTGGTCATTGCACCTCATTTTGGAGCCAGCAGAGCAGTAAGATTGGTGCTGGAATCAGTAAGAGTAGGTGCAGGAGCGTGGGAAGCCATGTGTTAACTTCTATTAATCTGGTCCTGGGGATGTTGTTGATGGGGACAGTTCCCCTTTACAGAATTCGTAGAAGTCACGCGCAGCCATCTCTGCTTCCTACATTCATTTTACAACTTTGAACTCAGCTTCTGAGGTGGTAACTCTAATAGGAGGAGACTATCAAGCTTTCTTCCTCAGAGTTGCTGGTGGATTTGAACTGCACACCCTTTTGTTAGCAGTGCAACTCCTTATGTGCTTGGAGCTGAAAGACAGAATTAAATCCTCATCCCAAGCTGGGGTTCACCCAGGGACAACCCCTTCTGCAACCACTAGAGAGTGAACAGTTTAACCGTTAGAATTTTCATATAAAAGATTTTCCCACACAAAAAAATTATTTCCAATCTTTTCAGTTTTCTTAAAGTCTTTTTGTTTTGAGAGAAATATTTCCTTTTCCTCGTTTCCTGCTATAAAGCCAGCGGCTCCTTCAATCCCTAATGTGACGTCGCCATCTGGTGGCTGTTTTTTGAATTGTGAGATTGGGTCCTCTTCTAGATCCCTCCTCAATCTCCATAAATTCTTGCAAAAAAGAGAAATATATGACATTCAGATCAATAAAAATGTCCAGTAAGTCTATGGAAAACTATTTATTCTTATATTTTGTTTAAAAGATATATTTTATTTATATTTTTAAAATATTCTTGCTAGGTGCCATCAAGTCAACACACAGCAAGAGACCCTATGAGCAACAGATCTGAACCTTGCCTTATCCTGTGTCTTCAGGGCAAAGCTGAAGACATGGCTTCATCTTAACTAATCTGGGCATATTATCAAGAGAGGCCAGTTCCTGAACAGGGACACCATGCTTAGAAAAGTGGAAGGTCCTTGAGGGAGAGGAAAGCGTCAATGAGATTGATTGATGTAATGACCAAATCCATGGTCATAAAGACAATAGAGATTGCAAGCATGACACTGGCTTAGCCAGGGCTGTGTTCTGCTGTGCGTAGGGGTGCTGGGGTGTGAGCTGATTCCATGTTAGTAACATTTCCAATCGTCTCCTTAATTTGTAATTTGCCCTTGCGTTATTTTCTTGATTTCTTACCAAGTGGTGTCTGTTTTTAACTCAATTTTAGATATGGTTTCCAAGAGTTCTTAGAAGACTCAAAACACGTATTTATTAAAATTTCTTACCTAATGGTCTATTCTTTCAAAAGTTGACCCGGTTCTTTATGGGGACCATTTCTCATGCCATCTTGTTTTGGTTTTTCATTTGAAAAGCAATTGATTAAGTGTTGTCTGTGAGTCACTGTTGACACGTCGCATTCATGTATTGGTTAGGTGTGGGTTTGTTTCATGCCACTTTCTCAGTTTGCTATATCCAGGCAGGCAGGTGTCTGGTCTACTTTGGTTACTAGTTCGGCTGCAGTAGGACTTTGGACTTATTCCTGAAAAGACCTACTTAGTGCTGGAGGATTGAGTACAGGTGGTGGGGAATAGCTGTAGGTGAGGTGGAGGCTGTGTTGTGTTTCATCAAGTCGGAAACAACCCACAGCTGATCCCCTAATGGGTTTTCAGAAGCAGTTTAATTACACAGGAGGAGATTGCCCATCTTCCTGCCAAGCAGCTGGCAGATTTGAACTGGGTGCTTTCAGGATGACAGCACAGCTTCTTACCACTAAGCCACCAGAGCTCACTGTAGGTGGGGAGCGTTGTTGTTGTTATGAGCCATCTAGTCGCCTGCAACTCATAGTGACCTTATAGAGTTCTGAACCCTGTCCTATCCTGAGCCAATCTCACTGCTTCTGACACACCTGCCTCTACTCCCTCAGTCACTGTGCTGTTCATTCGACTTAGAATTCTTTTGCTCTGAGTTGGTTCTGACTTAGTGGTAAACAACAACATTCTTACAGGTGGCCTAGTGGTAAGAAGCGGTGCTGCAATCCCAAAGGTACGTGTTTCAAATCTATCAGCTGCTCCGCGGGAGAAGGATGGGCAATTTCTTCCCATTCTAACTCATCAGAGAACCTCTAAGAGCAATGATCCTAAAAAAAAATTAAGAAAAAAGAAATAAAAATAAAAATGTACTGAGGATTCAATCTCTTTTCTTTCCAAAGGCCCCTCTGCACACCCCACTGTTAAAATACCTTCCTCCTTGAGTAAATTGCGATTTCTCTGCCCATAGGTAATGATGTTAATTATAGAACAGAGTTCAGGTCTTTTGTTCATAGGGTTGCTATGAGTTGTATTCGAGTTGATGACACTGAAGCACTGCTAAGTGAGACTAGTGTTGTTATATCTTGTACATCACTCTTTGTCAGTTTGTTGTACTCACGTAATGTGGGTTTGCTGTGATGCTGAACCTTGTACCATTGCAGTGTCCAACACCATAATGGTTTCCCACTGTGAACAGTGTTTGGTGGAGCTCCCAGTAGTAAAATGGTTTGGAAGCAAGAGTGGCATCCACTTCCTAAACCACATTCCTCTGGAAACTCTATGAACTTGGAGAAATGATGAAAGCTATAGAAAGGCATTAGGTCTTTTGTCCATATAGTTGCTATGAGTTGTGCTCTACTCGACGGCAATCAACAACAACCGCCCAAAGATACCCATCCACTCTAAAATTTATGACAAAGCCTGACTTGGTCACTACAGCTGTTGCCACATGGTATCACTATTGAACACATTCTGTAGAGTTGACCGAATGCTAATTCACTAATCTGGTTGGTGATCTCCTTGCCAGGTCAGACACCTACACATTCCCATCAGTGCCTCACACTGAGTTTCCCAGGTTACATCTTCTTTATTGCCTGAAAACCGACATGTTCACCAGCTTCAGGCCTTATGCTTAATCCAGACTCTTCTTCTTCCTAGGACACTTGATGTCAAACCTTAAAGACTTCAAAGACCTGAGTCAAGAGCATTCAAACTCATCAGAGAAATCTTAAGAACAATGATCCTCAAAAAGGAAAGGACTAAGGATTCAACCTCTTTTTTATTTCCAGAGGCTCCTTTGCATGCCCTTTCGTCTACCTCCAGTGCTATGTTCACATAATCTGGGGAGGCTGTCCAATGGACTAGTTAAAAAGCCAGTTGCTACTGCAGCTTTGTTCACAAGAGCAAAGAGCTGGAAACAACCCAAGTGCCCATCAACAAACAAATGGATAGAGAAGCTCTGGTATATTCATGCAATAGAATACAATGCAGCATTGAAAAACAAGGACCTAATGAAACATTATGCAAAATGGATAACCCTGGAGGACAATTATGCTGAGTGAAATATCTCAGTCACAAAAGGACAAATACTGCATAGTGTCACTGTTGTAAAATGGGACTGACATCCAGGTTGAGGGAAGACAGAGGAGGGGAAGAATGATGCACTGAAACAGATAAAGAAGAGAACTGTTTAAAAAGGATATATGAATGGGTATTCTTGTCATTACAGAAGTCCAGAAGGAAGGCTGCATAGTGGAGTGGACATGGGGGGAGGGACTGCATAACAATGAAAGAGTTTTGCTTTTTCTTTTCAAGGAGAAGAGTGAATTGGGAGGGAGGAGGTGGGTAGGGAGAAAAGTGCAGCAATGAATGACTGGAAACCCTAAGTCTCTGTAACTTTCATTAAAATTAATTAAAAAAATACACTCTGATAAAACAAACATAAAACCTTAAAAAATAAAAAAAGGCAATTGCAGTTAAGTCGGTGCTGATTCTGAGCAATCCCAAGTGTGTTGCAGAACTCCTGCAACCTTCAGCACTTCTGAAGCAGCGTGCAGTGAACCTGAAATGCCAGCATTTGTTTTCGCTTCTGAACGCATTAACCATTTGCATCGCCCAGTTACTCTATTCAAGGGAGAGCTCCCTTACAAACGGAAATCCACTCTTTGACAGTAATTTGATGCAAATAAAGCCTTCTGTGTTTGCCTCCCCGGAAAGGTTCTTTTTGTGAGCACTGCCTTTCTGATCTCCTTATACAGAAAGTGCACGTTTTGGGGGTGAAAACACAGCATTATTCTTAGGAGGAGAAGCAGCTGCCAGTGTTCCTTGCTAAAAATATCTAATACCATAGAATTTCATGACACTATTGCTTTTCAGCCCAACATCCTTTCATCCTTCAAAGAGTGTTATATAACCGCCAGCTCGAAGTGAGCTTTGTTTTGCTGAAGTGGGTGCATACACTGAGACGGAAAAGCTAAAATACTCGGGGGGTAATTGGTGGGATTTTGGAAACAATATTGAGCAGGGAGTAGATAGAAACGATTCAATTGTTGAAACTTTGAGAGGAAATAAAGTTCTGTTGTTGAAACGCAGTGAAAACCTGGTCCCTCGCTTCCCACAAAAGCATTGAGTAATATTATTCTCCAAAGCTTTGGGATCGTGCATTTGAGATGATGAAATGGGCCTGGTCTAAAGGATACATGGGGCATAGATACAAGATGTTGAGACACACTTATCAACAGAGGTGAGGGGTAAAGGGAAAGAATGGGAAAAGGGCTTGGCCAAAGTTACTCAGTAAAATAGAATGAAAAAGAACCCTGCCAAGATTGAAGCCCAAAGAGCCCACCAGCCAACGGTGTCTCAAGTCTCTAGTTCTTCCGGCCAAGCACCTGCCAGGCGGCCTCAGGATAGGTACTCTCGGACGGTGAGTTCCTTCAGGGTTAGGCCCCTGGTGGCGGGCTTCCGGAGGTGGCTCTCCTCCAGCCTCTCTTGCAGGGACACAAAATCTTTGCCCAGCGCATAGGCCAGGTGGGTCATGGCATCCAGGAGAGGAGCGTAGTAGCGGTGGCTCTCGCGCGCCAGCAGGCACTGCAGGGCCCGTTCACCAGCGGCGAAGGCCTCCAACGGGTGCTCCAGGTCGCGGTGGCACACCAGCATGGCACACAGAGCTGGCACCACCAGGGTTGGGCAGTGCGCCGTGAGCTTCTCCTGCAGGGGCACCACGCGCACCAGGATGTCCAAGGCTCTGGTGTACTGGCCGGCGCGCAGGCAGCCGAAGGCCTCGCGCAGCTCGGGCCGCGTGAGGAAGTCAATGAACTCGTGCGAGCGGCGCACGCAGCGCATGCTGTAGAGGTGGCTCAGGTACTCCTTGAAGGCCAGCTTGCGCTCACAGATCATCTCCTCGCTGAAGTTCCCCATCAGGTGCTTCTTGGGGAAGGTGACATCCTCCATCTCTTCCCTGAAAGTCTTCAGGAGGTTCTTCTGGAGCTTTTCAAAGTCTGAGTAGCGGCGCTCCAAAGTGGCTTTGTTGCTGTCAAAACTGCCTGTCTGGATGACAACGATCTGGTACATCTACGGGGCAAAGAGACAAAAGACTTGGGCAACAACTTGCTGAGGGGATTGACCTGACCGAGGCCTAACCTGATAAGGAAAAATGACGCAAATGATGGCAAACACCCCCAAAAGTGGATTACCACAACTAGATGTTCTGCTTTTAACAGCTGGTAGAATTAGCCAAACTACAAAAATGAATCATGACAAGAGTAAACATAAGAAAAATAATTTCTACAATAGAATTTATGAGATTGTTGCTTCTACTTACAGCAGCAAAAGAAACCCTGCCTAGTCCTGAATCACCCTCACAACCTTTGCTATGTTTGAGCCGTGGCTAAAGCCACTATGTATGTGCGTCTTGTTACGAGTCTTCCTCTTCTTTGCAGACTTTCTAATTGACCAAGCAGGATGTCTTTCTCCAGACGTGTCCCTCCAAACCACATAAAGAGAAGTCTCACCATTCTCATTTTTAAGGGATGTTCTATCTCATAAACTTTCTGGCCATCTATGGTATATATGCAATCTTCTTCACCACCACGATTCAATGACAGCAATTATTTCTTATTCATCATTCAACTTTCACATGCATATGAAGTAACTGAAAATACCTTGGGTTGGGTCAAGTACATTTTAGTGGCGTTTTTGCTCTTTAGCACTCCTGAGAGGTTGTTTGCCGTGAATTTGTCCAAAAGTCATCTGTTGTTTGAACTCTTGACTGCGGCTTTCATGGGCATTGACTGTGGAAATTCTCAACAACGTCAATCTTTGTTTTTCTTTTCTTTTTCTGTCTCTCTCTCTCTCTTCATTTACTATTATGTTACATATTGGTCCAATTGGAAATTCTCGACAACAACGTCAATCTTTTTTTTTTTTCTCTCTCTCTCTTCATTTATCATTATGTTACTTATTGGTCCAATTGTGAAGGTTTTTGTTTTCTTTACATTGAGATGAAATCTAAAGGCTCTGATTTTCATCAGTAAATGCTTCAAGTCCTCTTCACTACCAGTAAGTAAAAGTACAAAGAAAAAAAAAAGAGAATAATAGATACAGCAACACGAAGGTACCCCTGGAGAGGAAGAGGACCAGAACATGGGGTGGGGTAGATTTGCAGTCTGTTTCCCCTTGTGATTGTTAGATGCCGTCAGGTCAAGGACAACTCATTGTGACCCTATGAACCTGATCTGAAACTGTCCTATCCCACACCATTGCTGCAGTCACCACATCTATCCATCTCACTGGGCATTTTTCTTTCTCGTTCACTAACCTTTCCAAACATAACATCCCTTTTCAAGGAATAGACTCTCCTAGTAACATGTCCAAAAAGTATGAGAGATGAAGCTTCTCCATCCTCGCCTCCAAAGAGCACTCTGGCTGCACCTTCTCCAAGACACCTCTGTTCATTGTTTTGGCTGTCCACGGGATCGCCAGCTCTCTTCTTCAGCACCGCAGCTCAAAGACATCAACTCTTCTTCTATCATCCTTATTCACGGTCCAGCTCTCTGACAGCTAGCAGGTGTCTTTCCTTAGGATTAACACCCTCAGTTTTGTTTTGTTTTGTTTTGTTTTTTTCTAATGAGAGGTTTGGATTTTATCTTTGTTTTCCAAGATTTGATCTGCTTTCCAGATTTGATCTATGGATCTTCCTCTTAGGAGACAGTTTTAGACAGTATATACACTGGAAATAATTATAATATCTTAAGAAAAGAATTTTCTTATTGTCTTTCTATGAGCATGGAGAATACTAAGTAAGGACACAGAATCCCAGTCTGACTATCACAGATTAGCTATGTGCTCATACATGGGTAATTTAACCTCCTTGAACCTCTGAAATGAGAATAGTAACAGTATTCTCCTTGGGAGGACGCATTGGTGGCCACTTGCTGAGATGATGCACTGCAATCCAAAAGGAACTGGGTTTGAATCCACCAGCTACTTCAAAGGAGAACGATGGGTAATCTCATCTCATGTGATTAAAATGCCTCTGAAAACGCACTGGAGGGTCAGCTATGGGTCAGTTCCAACAGTATTCAACAACAACATCCTCATTGGGCGAGGTTTAAATGAGTTAATACACATAAACTCCTTGGAACTGCACTTGGTCTGCATTAAGCACTCAGTATTAGCTATTATTAATATACTGGTCCTAACATTGAGAAGACTGGTAGCTACTATCTTACAGCCTTTGATATGAGTTATGCCTCAATGTGAAGAAAATAAAAATTGTCACTACTGAATCAATCAACATCACGATAAACAGAAAAAAGTTTGGAGTTGTCAAGATTTCATTTTACTTGGATCCCCAATCAATGCTTATAGGAGCAACAGTCAAGAAAACAAACAATATTACAAACAATATATAAAATTGGGCAAATTGGGCAAGTCTGCTGCTAACGACCTCTTTAAAGTGCCAACGAGCAAGGATGTCACTTTGAAGACTATGGTGTGCCTGGCCTGCACCACGGTGTTTTCAGTTGCTTGATATACATGTGAAAGTTGTACATTGAATAAGAAAGACTGAAGAACTGATGCTTTGGAATTGTGGTGTTGATGAAGAATATTGAATATATACTGTGCACTGACAAAAGACCAAATTAGGTTTGTATGGAGTTCAGCTAAAACTCTCCTTGGAGAAGAGATTAGAGATCCTTTGTACCACATCATTGAAGCATAGTAATAAGAGGGATCAATGAGTGGAGAAGGAAATAACACTTAATAAAGAAGAAGGTTAGTGAACAATAGGAGACCTTCGAGCAGATAACATGACTGCAATAATGGACTGAAGTAAAACAGTGATTGAGAGGACGGCACAGGGCCGGACAGTTGTACAGAGGGGTTTCTTTGAATAGCAGCTGACCTGAAGACACCTAGCAGCGACAACTAGTTATTAATCACCTTTGTATCTGTTTTGAAATTACTTTTAAAATTATTTTTTAACCAAATTCGTATATATTGCTTTTCACACTTTCCTTCATTGACACTGTGTTTCATACAATCAGTCCCATACATTGCTTTTTATAAAATGAATCCCATTGAACTATGCTTACCTTGTCTTTTCAGGTCCCCTCCCCTATCTTTCCCATTTCCTTTACCCCCTCCCTCCACCCACCAAATGTAATGATCTTTTTTATGTCACGGGATACTGGTGTTCCTTTGAAGGCATTTCCCTTTGAAAGGAATGTCTTTAGTGCTGTTGTTTTTTTAAAATTATCCGATTTGTCAAAAATAAGTAAATAAATAAAAATGAAAATGGATCCATTTTCAAGAAAAGCATTAAATAACAATAGAATGCTACAGGAGGTGTTAAAACTCATGAAAAAGAGACTCGGGATCCCTGATAACATGGAATTAAACTATGTATTATTTCTTAGATATAGACTTTTAAAAACATAGCCTTAATGATCTATTTTTTTTTTCTCAAGATTAGGAACTATGACATAAATGTCTCTAATCTCAATGGTACCTCTTTCAGTGCCATAGTAAGCACTTACGAGATCTTGTTTTTTAACTGTTTTGGATATTATGATTTAGTGTGTGTCAACCCATTTCATAAGTGGAAATGACGAGACTCACAGGACTCGCCCAGGTCTGGAAAGGAGGAATGATAGACCCTTTTTAAAAGAATCTTGGCTTACCACAAACTTGGAGGCCTTTCTCTCTTCGATGCGGGCTGACGCGACCTCAAAGAGAAGTTTGATGTGCTTCCACTGGCATTTCTCGTTCCGCCAGTATTCCTGCAGCTCTCGCGTGGTCATGCTGGAGTTGGGGCTCTGGTTGCTGGGACTCTCTGGAAAGACAGTGAGCTGTAGTTTGTAACAGCCAGAGTATATCAAAGGCAATGTTTGTGGGAGAAGTTTGGGTCTTTCTGGTATAAGACTTCAGAGTTCTTAAAGAGTGATGTGAGTATCCTCTCCCACAAACCTATTTAGAGACCCAAATGAGACCGTTCATTAAATTTCTGTGCCTAACCTGGTTGAGTAAACCCATAACTGACAAGTCCAAGCGGCCAGAATCAGATTATCCTAATATTTATTAAGGTAAGCATGGGCTTGTTTATTTTTATTTGCTAAGCTCTAAGTGAGTCATCATAACAGAGCAAGGAAACACTGCATGATTCAAACTCAGGAAAGGAATGGATCAGGGAGGGATCCTGTCTCCATACTTTTTCAAAATATATGCAAACAAATCATTCGAGAGACTAGTCTTTATGAGGAGGAATATGGCATCAGAAATGGAGGAAGATGTATCAACAATTTGCATTGTGCAGATGACACAACTTTGCTTGCTGAAACTGAGGAGGACCTGAAGTATCTTCTGTAGAAAGTCCGGGACTGCAGTCTTCAATACGGATTGAAGCTCAATATAAAGAAAACAAAGATTCTCACCACTGGGCCAATTGGGAACACCATGATAGATGAAGAAGAGATTGAGATTGTCAACAATTTCAGCTTTCTTGTTTTCACAATCAACTCTCTTGGAACCAGTAGCCAGGATAACAAAGATGAATTGGATTAGGGTAGTGTGCTGTCAGGGACCTCTCCTGAGTGCTAAAGTGCAGAGATGTGTTTAGAGACTAAGGTGCGCCTGATCCAGGTCATGGTCTTTGCATTTACTTGCTATGCATCAGAGAGCTGGACAATGACTAAGGAGGACAGAAGAAGAATTGATGCTTTTGAGTTGTGGTGCTGGAGAAGAGTCTTGAATATACCATGGACTTCCAAGAGAACAAACTGGAGAAGGTGAAACCAACTTGCTCTCTGGACACAAGGGTTTTGAAACTCTGTCTCACATACTTCAGGCATGTTGCCAGGAGGGACCAGTCTTTGGAGAAGAACATCATGCTTGGAAGGGTGGAGAGACAGCACAGGAGAGGAAAACCCTGGATGAGATGGATTGACTCAGTGACTAGGATATTAGGGGCAGGTGGGAGTGTCAGAGACAGTAAGATTAGCACAGGATAGGACAGAATTCAGAACTATTGTATAGAGGGTCGCTATGAGTCAATGGCACAAAACAAGAACAACAGTGAGCAATTTAATATTTTTTTCAACACACCAAAGATTCTGCTGGCATCTGCTCCTCTCCCAACTTCACAGCACCTTCCTACAGAAGCAGAGGCCTTTTTTCGAATTGAAAATCCCTGTAAGGGAGGAGGAGTATTCCATAAATGGGTAATCTGCCCCTGTAAATAACTGTTAGATTTCACCTTACATGGTACCCAGCGAAGAAGAACCCAAAACACTGACAGATTAGAAATCATTATGTTCTAACACAAAGAAACGTTTCCATGACTTTGTGGTGGAAATGAAGTCTGCGTGGAAGATGGAATAGGTGCTTTCTGTGAGATGCCTGGACTGGGATACAGTTAAAAGGTCAATGTCTCCACTCAAGTGAAGAAGTCTCCAGACATTCACTTCTGGCTGGTTGTGGCTTTGAATACACACTGCAGTGGAAATGGAACATGTCTGCTGCCTTTCCCCCTGGTAAACGCTGCAAGGACATCCTGTAAACGGACGGCTATGTGGGGACCACAGTGCTGGCTGCTGGAGAGCTCTCAGCCTTTGTTGCCTGGAGATATTTCTGGGGTGAACGACCATCTGGTGGCCTTGTTTCATTCGTGCAAGAAGAAGAAAATGCAGAAACCATAGGCGAATCACTACAGCAGAAGCTAAGCTAAGAAAAAATAACACAAATAAACGAATGTTTATCACCCATTCTGACTCATGGTAACCCCCTCTGTCCAGGGCATAGTCTTGGCCGTATTCTTTATGGAAATAGATCCTCAGCCCTTTCTTTTTCAGTCCACTGGGTGGGTTTCTAGATAAGTAATACAGAACAATCTGCTGACATCACTCAGAAACCTTCACAGCAAAAGCTAAGACTCCTTTGTTTCAGCACATTTGACCTTTTCACCAGCTACCAGAATTACAGCCAAATTAGTTGTTGTTGTTATTGTTGTTGTATACCATAGAGTCAGAACTGACCTATATCTGACCCTCTGGTGGGTTATCAGAGGCAGTTAATTGCACAGGAGATTGACCATCCTTCTCCTATGGAGCAGCTAGTGGGATTCAAACTGCGTGCCTTCAGGATTGCAGAGCAGCTTCTTGCCACTAGGCCACCAGAGCTCCCTACAGCCAAGTGGGGAACCACACAAATATCCCGAGGTTGGCGCTTCTCCTTGATCCAGTTACACCTTCATTCATCATCACATGCATCAAAGTTGGACCAATCAGATGGTCTTTCTGGCCTATTCCTCAGGCTTTTCTTTCTACTCACAATACCTGGTTCAATACAGATGCTGTGAACATCTGACAGGCAATAGAGCTCACAATTTCTAATTAGGAAGAGACATATACACACCACAGAAAATGAAACAACCCAGTGAGAAGAATTAAAACTCTCCTCTCACCTTCTCTTTGATGCTGTTCTCTCAGGTGGTCAACTCTAACATCCTGGGGGGCTTCTTGCTACCTTCCCCTCAGCCCAGCATCAATTTTACAGTATAAAGCTTATGGGGAAATGGTAGACTGATTCATGAGCTACTCTGACGACCATCTGAAACCCCTAAAACAGCAATAAAAGGAATGGAGAAACGAGTGGCATCCACTTCTGAAATAGCTTGCCTCCAGAAACTCTGGAGAAACGATAAAAGTTATACAAATGCTCAAGTCTTTTGTTCATAGGGTTGCTATGAGTAGTCTACGACTAGATGTCACTTAACAACAACAGCTACATAGTTAGAGCTCAGTTGACCTAGTGGAGAGAAAGTGATGCTACCAAGCCAATGGTGGGTGATTTTAATCTGCGGCCCTCAGGCCTGGTTTTAATTGGTTTTGGTCAAACATTCTTCTAAGTGGTGTAGCACTTGTCTGTCCATTTGCTGTATAAGGTAACTCATGGTTGCTGTGAAGCTGAACACTGTGTCACTGATGTGTCAAAATGTGATAATGGTTACCCATGGTGGACAGTGTTTGGTGGAGCTCCCCGATTAAAACAAGCTTGAAAGTAGGAGTGGCATCCACTTCCGAAATGGCTTGCCTCCAGAAACTCTATGAATGTGGAGAAATGACAAAAAGTTATACAAGTGTTCAGGTCTTTCGTTCATTGTGTCACTATGAGTTGTCTATGCCTCAACGACACCTAACAACAACAACAACAACAACAACAGCAGCAGCAAAGAGCTTCTTTAGAAGTAAGAATTTCTAAATACAAGTTTTGAAGGCAAAAAGCAGACAGATCAGTGGTAATGACTTGGTTGATTCAAGAGAGAAAAATCCTAAACTGGCAGATGGGAAACGAAGAATCAATCCCAGTTGTACGGGACAAGTCGAGAACACAAAATTGAAAACTCCAGACAAGTGCCTTGGGAAGCGTCTGAGGAGAGTAAAGCTACAATGAAAATGTAAAGTAGGAGGTAGAAGCCTAAGTGTGTAAATAGAGAAATCTGAAACAAAACCTTAACTCCATTTTAACATCTTGACGTGAGTCTAAAATCCACGTTGGATTGTAAAAGTTACTTCTACTAAGCAACAGTATGTCATTAGACCGATCATGAAGTCTTCGACAGCAAGGTGACTACGCATCACATGTTCATTAAGTCTGTCCTGAAGCCTGTAAAACCTATTCATAGAAATGTCCAGTGGACAATAAAATAGATAAGCTTCAAGTGCAAAAGAAATAACTCATTACAGATATTTTCAAGTCATAGTAGATGAAAGCTGATTACAAATTTCACTGTAAGCTGCATTTAGAGTTTATTTTCTTATCCTTATATCTAAAATGACCCTACGGTGTTATAATCAATAAAGTGTAATTAATGTGTGGTAGTCCCAGACCTAGCCATTAAAAAACAAACAAACAAACAAAAAAACCCTGTTTCTTTTAACAGCAAGGAGCCCTGGTGGCATAGCGTGGATTGTCTTGAATTGCTAATGGGAAGGTGAACAATTCAAATCCACCGGCTGCTATGTGGGAGAGAGATGGCCTGTTTTCTCTAATAAAGCTTCACAGTGCTGGACAGCTGATGGAGTGAGTGGCAGTGAATTTTCCAACAGCTGTTTCTCTAACCTTATTTCAAGCCACAATATACCCTGAAGAAGACATCTTTTTTTTTTTTTTTCTCTGAGGTCTGGAACCTTTCAGATATATCATAATCTATTCCTGAACCCTCTTTCCAGTATGGTCAAGCAACTGTGTGATGTCATAGCTTTTACCTGAAGGGTCTTGATACAGCGCATTACTGATACATCTTTACAATGCATTTCAGAGACAGACATGACTCAGAAAGTCATTTTTATAGCAGGTTATCTGAAAAACATGTCCTGCCACTATCCTGTGACTATTCTGTAATAAATTAGAGTATATACATTTTAAATTATGTACTCTTAACAGATCATGTCATTCTACAAATATGTAATCTGCTTGACCCTTCTAAATCCTCACTTTGAAGTATCTGCCTTTGACCTCTCTGCTTATGATTATATAAATTTTAGTCCCTTCTCCAACTGTGTGAAACTGTTTTCTTCCTTGATGTTGAGAACATCAGTCATTTTTGTTCTGTGAAGTTAGACAACTTCCTCATCTGACCGTCTCTGTCTCTCGACACGAACCTCTTTTGCTTTCACTTTAAGCAGATTCTAGGATGCTGTTCTATGCCAGAAGGTAGATTAAAATCTCACTTACGACTATCAGTCTCCTCCATCATCACCACCACCACCACACAACCCTCCCCACCCAGCAGAATCCTGGAGGCATTTTTCTCTGGGAAAAATTTAAAGTCTCTAG